CTTTTATTTGAGTTGTCTGTATTGTTTGAATTATTACAGGAATCTGTTGCTAAAATTAAATTATTAAAATTAAAGAACAAAAACTGAAACAGCAGGAGGAAAAAATATAGAGTGATCTGCCTTCAAGATACCTTGCTTATGATTTGTATAAGAATTTTTACTTTTTATTAAGGACCTCAGGCAGAGCTAAGAAATTGACATGTATTACCTCTCATCTTCTTTAAAAAAAATGAATAAATTAAATAACATCTGAGCATGCATGTTTAGTATTCTCCATGTTTATTAAAAATAAAGCTAAAGCAAGATACCATTTTGATCAAGTTTATTTACATTTTTTTCTCTTTTTCGTCTGACTATGGCTTTTTCTCTTAGACTATTAACAGTTTTTACAAAAGTTCCATCAAGAGTTTAATAAACTCTTCATGCATCTTTTGGAGCATTACAATTCATAATGCTGAAAAGTTAAAAAGTAATGTGTTGAATTTTGTTTAACCCATTTCCCAGATTTATTGGATGAGCAAACTCCTCCCTAACCTTCTCCCCCTACCATTGTAATACCTATTCGGATCCCAAGGATCTGGGGGACAGATTTTATGGGAATGTTTGACTATAACTCAAACTTCAGATTGACTTCAGCAACTTTTCAGTTGAAAAGTCTTGGTGCTGAGGAATTTCCCATTGGCTTGGCAGAAAAGCTTCTGCAAGAGCTTGTTTTTGTCTTGTAAAAGAGACTTGTAACTATATGTAAAACTTCCTCTGGAAAGATCTGATTTGCACTCTGACAGAAAAGCCCTAGGTTTAGTTGTCAGAAAGACATAAGTTTGAATCTACAACCCAGCTATTAGAGTGAGTGACCAAGGAGAATAAAGAAGTTGCCTTAAGCCTGAATTTCTTTGTAAAATGAGAATAACATAATCTTATAAAGAAGGGTTTTTAGAAGTAGATAAACTATGCAAAACAACTAGCGTAAACAGGCATTTCTTAGGTACTCGGAGCATGTTGGTTTATTCACTCCTTCATCCTGCTTGTCATCATGACCCAGATGAGAGAGAAAATAGCACAGCAAGGACATTATGGATGGCCTGAAAACATGGTTTCCATCTTTCTCCTAGTAGCTGTTTTTTTGGAGGCTAGTATCTGAGTTACCCCTGACTGACTATATTGGGTGTCCCCTTCTCATTAGAGCTCTGGAATTAATACAGTATAATTACTAATGATTTCAGGTGCTTTGTGGTTTTTATGGTTTGCATCTGTCACAGTTTTTGTTTGTTTGTTTACTAGGACTTAGTCTGTATCAAAACTTAACTGCTAAAGGCATGCATGTAGAATAGTTGAAGTAGAGATATGAAGTTATTTTTCATACTCTTTTTATTTAACTCTTTGTTGTACATGTTCAAAGTTAATAATAGAAATTATACTTTGGGGAGAAAATTAAATGGATGCTTTTTTATTGGTACAGTGTTTAATCTGTATTATGGTGATGTTGATAAGAAAAAATCTCTTCATCCTTATATGGAAATATTAAGGAACATCTCAAGAAGAACTTAGATATTTGACACAGGTATTTTAGGTGTTGGTTTGCTTCAAGGACTAGAACTGAATCAGAGATTTCTTGAGTTCTCTTCTGGTGACTAATAATCCATGATTTTTTTAAATGTATCTAAAAATATTTCCTGTAACACAGGCATTTTAATTTCTTATAATAATGATTCTTTTAGCATATATTCCTTAAAATTGATCTAAAAATCTTCAATTAAAGGGAATTTGTGGAGAAATAGAGGTATAAAAATTACTTGGATTGTGTTTGGGTTTTGTCATTTAAAGATACTAGACACTTTTGACATTTCAGAAATGTGAGTATCCTTGTTCAGTTATAGTAAAAGAAGCCTTAGATGTTTCTAATATGTCATATTCTTGTTGGACATTAAAACTATAATGCAGTTTTATCATTGTGACTTACCAGCGGATTGTTACAGGAACCAAATCTCAAGAGATAAAGTTATGAAATAATTGTCTGGAAAATGTCATGTGACTTTCAAATTTTCTTTTCTCAGATTCATAATGACCATTTAATAGCTAGTGAGAAACAGCATTTACTCCAATGGGAGGATTTCATGAAGGAACAACCCAGCAAAAGGGCTGAAGTGGATGAAGAGCACAGAAAAGCCATGGAGAGGCTTAAAGAACAGTACGCTGAGATGGAGAAGGACCTGGCGAAATTTTCAGCCTTTTGAGAACTTGAACCACAACAATGACAAACTAGTGAGAAAACATTTGCCTCCTCCCTAAAAAATATTTCCACCAAACCATTTAGCCTCTGCTTCAATCTTATTATATTCAGTGGCACCCATATCAGAAGAAATAAACTTCTGCTGGAGTTCCGATTAAATGTTTAATAGAAGAAGAGTGCTACATTTTTCCAGTTTTAAGTGCCTATATAAGATGATTTGAATGGGGAGGCGTAAGAGGAAATGGGTTAAATATGCTTCTTGTTGATCAGAATTGATCTTTTCCATTGCTTAGCTCAGAGAACTGTGAGTATAGATTTTAGAGAGAAAGATAATTTAATTCATTGTTATACAGGGTTAATATTAGTTTATTACTGTGACTGTAGGCTGGTATAAAAGCTGCCTGTCATAGCCTCCTTGGCTATTAGAAGAATGTGTAAAGTGTTATTCCATAAGTAATGTAGACAAAAAAACAGTTGTCCTTGGAGCAGAAATCACATGTAAGAGAGGTGAAAGTGAAAACAATTGGCCAAGATGGCCATGTCGGTCTTTGAATTGCCTGTTGGGGATGGTTGCAGATTTGCAGTGCAGCATCATGCCGTGTGCTGCACTGGATGACAAGACAATGCGTTAAGTTTTGAGGCCTTCCAGCCCTTAATATTTTCCGCTTTTAAAACATATTTAGAAAGAAAACCTTACCAAAAACATATTTGGACTTTTCGTTTTTCCAAGAACTATAATCTTGCCCATAGTATTTACCTCATTTTTGTGTCTGTTTTGCTGTGGGTAAGCTTTATAAGATAAATAATGTCTATACATGTTTCAGCTGTTTAATTAGTAATCAACAAAATCTTGCCAGGGAGTCCCTCTGGAACCATGTAAGATTCTGGCTCTGAATGAACCAGAAGTGTTTGCCCACATGGCAAATGATCCATGTTAAACGTAAATCCTGTTTAGTGTTAATGTCTGTTCTCATAAGCAGTATATTATGATGAAACATGTACCAATTCTGTCATCACTGTGATCTTTAAAAATCTGCATTTAATAATCTAATTGAAGAACTAAGTTGATTTTTTTATTTGCCATAAACCAAGCAAAAGTAAATGCAATAATTTCAAGAGATTTATGGTAGGAGAACTTGAGGTATGGATAAATCTTTCAAATATTTTTTATTGCTCTTTAGTAAAGAAAGGCACAGGAAAAAAAATATCCAACTCTCTTGTGTTATCTCAGTGTTGCAACTGCAGAAAATTGACAATGCTTGCCTGTGTAAATTTATGGCTTATTGTCAAAGCTTCATTCTTGGCTGCATGTTGAAAATGTGATTAAAGTTAATAGCGGAGATGAAATAAGTATTTGAGATTTCTTTCAGTAACATTGAACTTCTGCCAACTTTCTCTGTCCGCTACTGTAGGCTTGACAGGCTCATCAATCATCCACTGGTACCTGGACTAAAAAGAGCACTTGCTGACACCAAGGCATGTTGGAATTTTCTTAATTCTCTTTTGGAGGATGGAAAAAAAAATATTTCCAAAAATATCCCACACATCAAAAGGAAAGGGAACCTTAAATGAAAATTCCCTTGTACCATAGACACTTTTTGAAATGCAATTAATTGCCAACACACCATCGAACAGATGTTGTAACCAAGAAATCAAGGTTGTGTGTGTGTGTGTGGGAATAAGCTCTTAACTGTGGCTACCCAACTTGTGCAGCAGGGATTTCTGATGGTTTTTGTTCATCTCATATGAGTAATAAATACTTTACCTTACAAGTTTGTGTATATAAGTATCTAAGGGACTTCCTAAACCAAAATGAATTGATGGGCTTTTTGAGCAATAAACATTAAGATACTCAATTCTTTCTTTGTAACTTGGTTGGCTGTTCAATATAGCTTTTAAAAGAGTCTGTTTACTTACCTCCCTTTTGATAGTTTTAGTAGTGAATACTTTTGCTTCT